ACAGAGAGAGAGAGAGACAGAGAGAGAGAGAGAGAGACAAGACAGAGAGAGAGACAGAGAGAGAGAGACAGAGAGAGAGGAGACAGAGACAGAGAGAGAGAGAGAGACAGGAGAGAGACAGAGAGAGAGACAGAGAGAGAGAGAGAGACAGAGAGAGAGACAGAGAGAGAGACAGAGAGAGAGAGAGACAGAGAGAGACAGAGAGAGAGACAGAGAGAGACAGAGAGAGACAGAGAGAGAGACAGAGAGAGAGAGAGAGAGAGAGAGAGTTATTCTAAAAACAATCTTCTCAGTGACATAAGATTAGAATGTTAATCTAACCTGATAAACTTGAATTCAAGATTCTTTAACATTCATGTTGATCTTACCAGCTGGACACATAGGACAGCATCCACCAGGTGTCTCATACTCGTCTCTATAACATGTCAGAGTTTGACCTGTGGAGACGTTCATCAGGAGAATCTGTGAAGAGAAAGAGAAATGTTCATCATCCAGTCCATGAAGAGAGAAGAGGGAAAGAGTTCAAATCTTCACATCTGAAGTTTGTCTGTTTGTGTGAAGAAGAATCATTCAGAACAAATATTTACACAGAAAGAAATGTTGAAGAGGAGAAATATAAAACATGAATCAGTGCTCAGATAATCAAAGATCATTTACCAGAAACACAGCAGCTGATCCAGGTCTCATTCTCCCTGGAACAGAAGACCAGCACAGATTCCTCGTCTGTTTGAACCAACGCAGATTTAAGACCAAGAGAAACTCCAAACCAGGACAGGTAACACACTCCCAGAGGAAAGTCTTTTCAGCTTCCTGCAGTCAGAGAGACATCATCATCATCCTCTTCATCATCATCATCACCATCATCAGGACAGGTGCAGATTGTTCACCAGGTGTAAAACGTCTCAGACATGAACAGGTGAGGGAATAAAGACTGAATTATGAGCCTCAGTAATAAATCTATATAAATATATAAACCCCCCTCTTTGTTTCCATGAATGGTTCAGTCCTGCTTCCTACCTGGAGCGAGAGAGGAGAGCTCTGAACAGAAAGGTGAGCACACCTCACACAGGCTGAGTGAAGATCAAACCAGCTGTTCGACGAATCAGAAGAAGAGTGTCGTTTGGATCATATTTCAGTTTTGATTTCATATGAAGCTATCCAAATATGAGCCTACAAAAAAGAGCTCCAGCATCTCTGATATCAACAGATTCATTAACCTGTGGCTCCTTTCCCACATGTCATTCCTCTCTCTCTCTCTCTCTCGTCTCTCTCTCTCTCTGTCTCTCTCTCTCTCTCTCTCTTTCCTATCTCCTGAGTAAAGACAGTAAAAACTGTCCGCTACGCCTGCCTAAAAAACATCTTCAGCGTCAGAGGAGACAGATGTGTGCACAGTGTACAGAACTGAGAAGAACAACAGCCTCATTTTAAAGTCATGGTGAATGTGTGGCAGAATCCAATTCAGATGTATTGTATGATAATCATGCAAGAATCTAACCAATAAAATCACTTTTAGACAGTAAAAGCTTTTACAACATTAAGAGCAGTTGTTGCAACAATGCTGCTTAAAATCAATTATATTTAAACTCTGAAATAATCATTTTGATTTTAAATTGAAATGTTAAAAATGATTTGTTATTGTCTCCGTAGTTTTAAAGGTATCAACTATTAAAGGAAAACGTGCTGGCCTACATGTAAAGAATACAAAAAGAGTCACAGGTAAGGTGTCAGGTGTCTGTAGAAATAAAAGGCCAGGGTCAGAATCAGAAGTTGCATATAAAATATCACAGTGATTTTGTATCTTCCATTTTAAATGTGTAACAGAAAGTATGTCTGAAGTTTTCATGGGTCATTTGGGGGATGGAGCTGTGGTTACAGAAATTCTCCAGGGTTAGTTTGGGCTGTGGAGCAGGGGCCCAGTAGGATATCTTTTCATGGAACCCGGAAGTAGACCTAATGGCGTCACCAGATTGTTCATATGGATCTTGTATAATAAATGTCCCGACTCGTCAATAATAAAGCGGACTCTGGGTTTGTCTTGAAGCTGAGAGCTAACTTTAGTCCTGGAGCAGACTAGTCTGTGACCAGCAGACAACAAAGTCTTCATCCCTTTAAAACTCCAGAATTTCTGGATTCCTAGACTTCAACAACTTTCGCCTCGCATACACACACACACACACACACACACACACACACACACACACACACACACACACACACACACACACACACACACACACACACACACACACACACACACACACACACACACACTTTAACAGAGTCTAACCCGTGATAAGTTAGCTACTGTTCTGAAAGAAGATATCTGGGTTACCTACCTTATGAAGCCCCCAACTCAAAAGACCAACTTTTATTCTAATTAAAGGTGTTTAGTATAGGATTTACCTGTTGCAGGTAGCTTACAGCATTAATCACAGGAAATAAAACGAAACACGGGTGATGCATTCAGGTGCTCCTCGGATGATCCCAGTTTCCGAGTTGTGAAGTCGTTTTTCCGATTTCAGTGTGTTCACGTGATTTCAGTTCGGAAAGTGTGGATGTTGTAACAACAACTATAAACATCGTGGATGCTACGAAGAAGAAGACGGTTGGAACTGTTTCCAGTTAGGCCTATTTTTGAGCTGGCGATCATGTGCAATTTCCAACTAGGAAGCTCGTTTTTCCAATATCACTTGAATGTAACGCCTCCTTTTTTATGGCTCCTACAATTATGAAAGGCTACAAAACATACTGTTAGAGATAAACCTCTCATTGGCTCCTAGCTCAGAGGGTCTAACCTGGATATGAGGAAGGACTTCAGGTCCCACCAGGGCCACACAGGACGACATGTGGGCCACATGGAGTCCTGGTGGTGGGGGTTTACTCCGAGCGCTTCAGTTTCCTCACACAGAAACAAATCATTTGAAAAATAATCACAATAAAAAATTACAATCCATTTGAAAAAAGAATCATCTCTGTTTGAATACATTTCTTCAGATTATTTCTAATATGTATTTGTGTCTCACATTTCATTTCTGTTCTGACTCTGTCCATGGTTCTGATGTCTGCTCTCTATCACTTGCATTGTTTCTGTTTTTTATCATCACTTTATAAACTAAACGCTGGGAAATGTCATGAGATTTTAATGGTCCAAACGACACATGAATTCAAGATAATAATAAAACAGGAAGATTAATAAATATCATTGAAGGGGACAAACAAACAAAAAAGCAACCAGACATGAAGACAACACCTCACACTTGGTCCATTATGACTTGTTGCTCAGTGTACATAAAAACAAACAATTCAGGTGGAAGCCTTTTAAAAAAGTTAGTATTGCACTATGGTAAAAAGTAGATGGAAATGTGGTATTTAATCTGAACTGAACTGTATTTTAGTCCTTTGGTGGACTTTTCTAGTCCCAGTAACCCTTTAACCTTAATCACATGCTTTTCATGAACTTTTAAATCCAAGTGTCAGATTCTTAAATGTCAGTTTTATGGCTGTGTACTGCTGCTGACCTCTTGTGGTCAAAGACAGAACTGTCTGAGAGTCTCAATTTGTTTCTTCTTGTTTCTCCTCCTCAGGTGTGGGACGATTACAGGAGGCTACAGAGAAGGACTTTCGGATCACCTCAAGGAAGTTCTGGCAAACCGTTCTCCGGCTCAGAGAGGGAAAGCAGGGCTTCCCCCCGGGCTGTTATCAGCAGGGATGGGAGCAGGGAGGGAAGAAGACTTATGACCGTGTCCCTCGGGGGGTCGTGTGGGGACACTGCATGAATATGAGGTCCCGGTTTGGTATTTTTCAAACTTTGGTATGACCAAAGTGGGAGCTGTGTCTGCATCCTTGACACAAAGTCAGACATGTTGCCTGTGTGTGTTGGCCTTTACCAGGGTCTCCCCTTGTCACCAATCATTTCTGTGATTTTCATGGACTGGATCACAAGGTGTAGCCGGGGGGAGGATGGTTCTCCACATATCCTCTCTTCTTTTTGCAGAAGATGTGGTTGTGTTTGCATTTTCATGCTGGGACCTCCAGAAGGCATTGGAGCAGTTTGAAGCGGCTGGGATGAGGCTCAGCACCTCAGGGTCTAAGGATGTGGTTCTCTGTTGGAAAAAGTGGATTGCTTCCTCCAGGTGGGGAGTGATTATTTGCCCCCAAGTGAAGGAGTTTAAGTGTGTCAGTGTTGTTCAAGAGTGAGGGTAAGATGGACCGTGAGATTGACAGACGGATTGGCTCAGCGTATATGGGGGCGTTGTACCGAACTGTTGTAGTGAAGAGGGAACTGAGACTCAAGGGAGAGCTCTCGATTTACCGATCTTCATTCCAACCCTCTGTGGTCACGCCATAGACTGAAAAAAGATGCATTATGGGTAGTGACTGAAAAAGTGGCCACTACTCCTTCACATCTAAAGGAGACAGTTGAGGTGTTTCGGGCATCTGATTGGGTCTCCTGGACGCCTCCTTCAGGCATGCCCAACCGGGAAAAACCCCCATGGTAGACCCAGAGTTCACTGGAGGGATATCCTTTCAGTCCTGGGAACGCCTCAGAATCCTCCAGGAGGAGCTGGAAAATGCTGAAGGGGAGAAGGAAGTCTGGGTTGATGTACTTCGCTTGTTGCCACAGCGACCCGACCCCGATAGAGGGGGGGGGGGGGCGCCCAGCCTCCACAGGGGCCGCCAGCAAATGAGTGAGGCAGAAAAGTTGAAGATAAGAAGAAGAAATAGAAGGAAAAATGCATTTAAATATCACTAAATATTATTTATCTAATATCATTGTCATGCTTTGATTTAGTTATGATCCAAAAGAAGTCATGAAAACACAACTATCACATATTTAGAAAGGCTCTACTTTCTTGCCTCCTGCTTGACCCGGCGCATCACAACACAGCTGCTCGTTACCTGCTCGTTGTGGAGGAGGAGGGCAGGTGACACTGACCACACCGATTAATATCACGTTTATAAATGACCGTGATGTAAACAACAACAACAACAACAACAACAAAGCCCTCAGGAGCCCAGGGACGAAAAAAATAAGAGGAGGACAAATGTGAAAAAGACACAGAGGTAACGTGCTGCACAGATCAATGATTTATCTGTTGTAGTGAAGATAGCTTGATAGTGGAAATGTGGTCGGATTGTCAGAGCAACGAGATCTCCTTTCCCTAAGTCCTTTATGAATTCTCCTAACATCTTTCCTTAACCTCATGACCTTCCCCGGGGTTAAGGTGAAGTGGATAGTGAAAGGAGATAGGAGGGACAATTCAAACACACCCACTGATTTTTTGCCCATATTAAGTCATAATTAATTAATACAATTATGAGATAAACAAATCAAAGTATGAGTTGGTAAGTGCGCATGTAGGCTACTCAAACTGGCATTGTGGTAAAAAAAAACAGAAAAGTTTCTGCATCCCCTCACTGGCCCAGCCATGTAAACGATATGCAGTCCTAAACAAGGTAACTCATTCTGACTAATGTAGTAATGGTTCGATGCATGATAAATAATGATGTCTTTTAACTAAACACATTACATTACTGAAGATAAACTTTATTGATTCCCCTTAGGGGGACATTTCTTTGAAATAAACCACAGGCCTAGTTGATACTACTTTGTTATGATCTCGCGGAAGTTCTTTTCTCGCGAGATCACACGGTCTCGTCTGACTACGCCATTTAAAGTACTGCTTCCCTTCTCGAGGGCAACGTCTGAAGAGCGACCGTTTACCGGACAGAGTTCGTTGGATATTTCCCGTTGAACCGCTGTGAATACAGGTAAAAACTCCTCTTTAATTCCCGGTTACACCGACTGACTCGGTATGTAGGCGGTTAAGAGGCGGGAGTTACCGGGGTAACGAGGCCTGTCTGCCCGGCTACACCACTGACAGCATTGTTAGCTAGCAGCTAGCCGGTGACCGTTAACGGCTCAGGTGTGTATTCACAGGTGAATGATTGAAGACTGATCACTTCAGAACAGAACAGAATGACTTTATTGATCCTAAACTGGGAAGTTACAGCAGCAGGTTCTCCAAACACACAATATGAGTAAAAAACACAATGTTAGCAATCTAAACACAATATAATATTAAATACAAAGTAAATAAGTACTAACAATATCAAAACTAAGACTGTGAATATATACAACCAGGATTTAACTAAACATTACTAGTCTTTAAATATGAAAGATTAAATGTAAATGTGTAAAAACAGAGTAGTAAATGAACAGTATTGACATCAGTTAAAGTGCAGGAGTGTAGACATGTTATCATCAGAAACTATTAAATATAATGACAAATGAAGTGAACTTGAGTGCAGTGATAAGTTGTAAACTTTGCATGTGCAGAACAGATGACAGTGTGGAGAGAGAGATATGATCATGATGACAGTTCTCTGCTCACATGAGGTGAGCTGTTGTACAGAGTTCTGGCCTTCGAGAAGAAAGATTTCTTGTATCTGTCCTTGTGACAGCAGAGTTGAATCAGTCTGTTGGAGAAGCTGCTCCGCTGTTTGTCCAGTAGGGTGTGCAGAGGGTGATCAGGATTATCCATAATGGATAACAGTTTGTTCAGAGTCCTCCTCTCTGTCACCACTACAAAAGAGTCCAGCTTGCAGCCTATCACAGAGCAGGCCTTCTTAATGAGTTTGTCCAGTCTCTTAGTGTCACCAGCTCCAGCAAATACCTGCAAACTGTCTGAATTACACAAAGCAATCACATCACTGTAGGGAAATGTTGACAACCAAATCAGATGTATGTTGAAAAAAATAAAAATAATAATGTTTCGATGGGATTTGACTTATAAGAATTGTTTAAAGGTTTTAAATTGAAGTGTCAAGACGAGCCTAATGAAATGTGTCTTTGTGTGCAGAGCAGCAGCAGTATGGCAGATGACCTGGACATCGAGGCGATGCTGGAGGCTCCGTACAGGAAGGTGAGAGTCAGATTGTCCTCTGTGTCGATGACACTGTCAGCCGGACTCTACTGCTCCAGGTCCTCGGATTGTAGCTGCTCAAATAGTTGTAAACAAATTCTTTACTACATTGAGTACTCTAAAGTATTTATTAGAGTCACCACATCCGCTTTAGTTTTTAAGGTGGACAAACTGAAGTGTGGTGACAACCTGTTACACAAATTACAACACTCTGAGGCTCGTCAATAAACAGCTCGCAGTGAGAGGAATAAAGGTTTTCTCCGGTGTTGACACTGGCCAAAGCTCAACATTTCAACACAGATGTGACTATTATTAATGCGACACTATCCCCACTTATTCATCATCACTGAACATGTGTTAAAGACCACAGGCAGACCTGATGGATCTTCAGAAACAGCTTTGGTCGATAAGCAGGTCCTGGTTCAGGAGGATTAACGTGCTCCTTCTCCTGAACTGTCTTTATAAGCGTCTTCTGTGACTCCACAACATCAACATATTATTTTTAAACTGTATCGTTTGCCTACTCTGATAAATGTAAACAATATAGAACCTGATGAGCAGAGCCGACATCAGTCCGTGTAGTCGGCTGTCCATTTACAAACTGTGAAGAGTCTTTGGAGCATCTCATCATCACAAAATGTTGGAAAAGCTACTGCTTTGTTCAGTATGATCATAGTAAGCAGATATACTGCTGATCTGTCTGTCTCTCATGCCTTACTCCCCCTTAAAGGATCTGATCTAGAGCCCGACTGATTAATCTGCAAGCCCATAATATCAGCATATCCAGTGACTTTGGGTTTTGATATTACTAGACGGTGACGCACGAACATGCGCACTTCCTTTCCAGTTTAGTGACCATCTTGTCTTCTTTATTTATCTTCTCTCAAATGTTTGATAACTGCATTTTAGTGATCAACACAATAAATGTTGAATATTTATCTATCTTTACAGATCTAACACGATCTAACAAATATATCGACAGTTATATCTGTATCTGGTTTTTGGGTTAGGGTTATATCTATATTGGCCCCAACAATCTCTAGAATATGGACCATGTCATATGAGAAGAACTTGATGAATTATAAAAAGTTGTAATTAAATCACTCCTGCATCAGAATGTTTCAAGACTAAATCGATGACTGTTAATTTCCTAATCAAAAGTAACGTTCCTGGGCCAGTGATCTTTAAAAACTGCAAATTTACCTTAACCACTGGTTCACGCTAATCGACCCATTCAGGAAATGAAACGGAAATTTTATATTCCCAAAATTCTGAAATACACTTGAGCGAGGCTTTACTGCTCTCATATCTCTTAGAATATAATCAGTTTGCTGTCAAAGCAGACTGGAGGGCATTTCCTGTTTGTGAGCAGTAGAGTCAGGCTGACGACGACGATGATGATTATTATCATGGCATTCCTTTATAGACTGTCATGAATAAATGCCCATCTATCTCTCTTTGTAGACTTGCCTAACGATTTCTCACCTCTACTCCCCTGAATGCCAGTGTGATCTGTCACAAACATGAAGGTAGTAAAATGCCCCCATCATGCATTGCTGTTCTGTGGTCCCCATGGTAACATGACTGTGGCTCCCTTGGTTAATTTGTCACCTGGTTTTGGCCCAACCCCCCACCCCCACCCCTGATGTGGAGCAGCTGAGGATATTGGGAGATAAAGTGCTTGAGGGCATCAGAAAGAAGAGCAAAAAGAAGCGAAAAAGAAAATCACAAGAGGATCATAGAAAGGAGACCTCACACTGCATGGTTGCTAGCATCATAGTTAGCTTAGCATAAGGACCACTTGAGTGAGCTGAAGAGGGAAATAAAAACTCGGACGTTGAAAATCAGGGCTCAACAGAGGTGTGGTCACTGTCAGGATGAGGACAGTAACAGGGTGGGAGGGGCTTATCCAGGTGAGCTACAGGTGAGGTCTGTTAAAAGGAAGGTCACGTAAGTTGACACATGGAACATTCAGCAAACAGGACCCTGACCAGGTGAGGGAGCTTTGATTTAGAAGGGGGGTCCTTTGTTCTGGTTTTGGGCTGAGTTGAGTGACTAAGACTCCTGTCTGCTTCAGGGGCCCTTCAGAGGAGTCCCAGCACCCAAAACCAGCACAGCATCCTCCCGGCTGAAGAAGAGCTGGACTGTGCAGTGTCTATCTGCTGCTGGAGCTTCATCCACACTGACTCCCCACCCCCCACCCCACAAACAGAGTCTGGACTGCAGCCTGAGACTGACTGACTGCCCCAGACTGACCCCCTACCACCACAGAACAATGTGTATAAATGTGACTCATTAAATTGTGTTTATATTCTCTTTTGCCCCCTCCCTCCTCTCCCCTGTCCCCCCTCCCTGACACCTGAATGTTGCGCCCGCCTCCTCATGCTGTTCTCTGTCGACCTTAGGAGGACACCAAGAGCCACAGTCCCAATGGACAGGAGGACCGCAGCAAGAGGTAACACACCTGTCTGTCTGAGTGTCTCTCCACCTGTCTGTCTGGCTCCTGGTGACCAATGGGACTGCTTGTCCCTGCCAACTGCATTCCTGCTGATCTGTTGGAGAACCTTGGTGATGATACACGGTCACAGACACTTTTTAAGCTCACTTTACAGATTCTACCCCCAACAACAGGTGGAATCTGGGGTCTGGATGTTAGTATGAGAAGTGGTCTGGTTCCCGTTTATTGTATGTTTGTAGTCCAAGCTGTGTTGGCCAATCACATCAGGAGGCATTGGTGTGTGTAGGGGAAACCGTCTGTATGGAGAGCAGAATTAAAAAATGTCTTGTATTTGCATCGTGTTAACTCTATAACTGGCAGGGACTGAGAATGTGTGTGTGTCTTATCTAATAGAGCACAGAAACAAACTTGTTACAACAGGGACGATAAAGGACCTTTATTTTCAGTAGTAGGAGGATTCCAGATGTTTCCCCTCACTACATGTCAGAAATGTTGTTTCCTTTCTTACTCTTGCTGACTGAATGCCGACATGTTGTATGTAATACCACACGGAGAAAGTAATATGTTGGGGTCGTTTGACACTGTGTGTAAAGGCTTCACTAGAACCACCGCCACAGTGATGTTGTCTCGCCCCTCTGTCACTACCTCCGAAGACATTACAGAGGGGGGATCACTTTGTCCCCCCCCAATAAACCTCTGAGACATGTGGGAAGTACATGTCACGCCTTGAACAGGCAGTCTGAACAGGGCTATTTGGTCGTTTCAATGGATGCAGGCTTTGGCATCCGGGCCGGGCTCTGATTGGCTGCTGTGTGTCCGACAGGAAGAAACGCAGCCGCAGCCGTGACAGGAGACGCAGCAAAAGTCGAGAAAGGAAGAAGAGCCGGAGTCGCGAGCGGAAACGCAGCCGCAGCAGAGACAAGCGAAGGAGTCGCAGCAGAGAGCGACACGGCAGCAGAGAGAGGGGCGGGCGCTACAGAGACCACCACAAACAGTGAGTCCTTCTGTTCTGACACCAAGAAACACATAAAGCCTGAAGAGCTGAGACAATAATATTCCACACAACATTTCCTTTTAAGACTTAAACTTCTGTCCAACAGACTAAACCAACCAAAGGTCATGTTCTCAGCAAATGTCAACAAAAATAAACCGCTGCAAGACTTCAAATGTAGATGTTTTGGATAAGGATAAACTTTATTGATCCCCCATGGGGGACATTTTTGAGTTACAACAGCTCAAGAAAACAGGTAGCAGGAATATGATTTTGAAAATAACAAGAAGTTAAAAATCAAACCTATTTTGATGTTTTTTAACTTTTAGCTATGGCAAATGTAACCGAAACATAAAGCAGGATGTCACAGAGGGATGTTGGGTCAGTATTAACTGGTCAAATTCCAATAAAAGCCAGTCTGCTATCTCATCAAAGGTCTAGTTCTCTCTGACACTGAGGTCAATATTGTCAATTTGAAGACTCTAGTTGTGAGTGCTCACTGTCGGTTTGTGTTTCCAGCCGTCGACGTTCAAAGAGTAAGAGTCCCTTGAAGAAGGAGAAGAGTCCCATCAGGTGAGAGTTTGTGACTAAAACATGAAATACGACAGCAGAAGATTCAGACATTTAAGACTAAATGGTTTTTTTGTGTGCGCTCGCAGACTGCCGATAGACAACCTGTCTCCAGAGGAGCGTGATGCTCGGACGGTGTTTTGCATGCAGCTGGCAGCCAGGATACGACCTCGAGACCTGGAGGACTTCTTCTCTGCTGTGGGGAAGGTAAACACAGACTCTACCTGTGTAAGCAGTCTGTTTCAAACATCTAACCAGTGATTCTGAAAGCTTGGTTCAACTCCAAAACTCACTCAGTCATTCTAACTGCAGCGCCCTGTAACAGATCAGCACATTTTTAAAGTGTCCTTTAATGCACCACAGCACAGCAGAGCGATGTCGTGTTGGTTGTCGTGGTAACAGCTGCTGTGTTCTCTTTTTGCAGGTTCGAGATGTGCGGATGATCTCCGACAGGAACTCCCGCAGGTCAAAGGGCATCGCCTACATCGAGTTTATGGAGGCTACCTCCGTTCCTCTGGCCATCGGGCTGACGGGGCAAAGGCTGCTGGGAGTTCCGATCATTGTACAGGCCTCGCAGGTACACACGCACACACACACACACACACACACACACACACACACACACACACACAAACTAACACATTGAATAGATTAATTTAATGGAAAAGATCTCCTTAAACTCATCTATACAATCAGCTTTCATCACATCAGAAATCCTCTGCAGGGCTTGACTGTGTTTGTGTTTGTGCGCCCGTGGGTGTTTGTGTGTGTGTTTGTGCGCCCGTGTGTGTTTGTGTGTGCAGGCAGAGAAGAACCGAGCGGCAGCTGCAGCCAACAACTTGCAGAAAGGATCTTTGGGACCGATGAGGCTCTACGTCGGCTCGCTGCACTTCAACATCACAGAGGAGATGCTGAGAGGAATCTTTGAGCCGTTTGGACGGGTCAGACAAACAAATACAACACACAACTAAACACACACTTGACAACACACACATTATACACACTTTGTCCACTACAGGCAAACATTTTCATATACTCGGGATGTCAATGTGCTGAATGATAAAACATCAGCTAGTCGACACCACATTTACAAGTCAAACTAATTATTCAGATCTTTTTTTAATTCAGGCCCACAATGTCTGTCAAATGTTTTCACTGAACTGTAATGCAGCCACCCACCACTAGCTGGGGCTGTAGCTCTGTTTAATGGGCCTGCTCTACAACCGGGATTTAAACAAGCACAGCTAATGGTTAGCATCTTGTCCAAGCAGAACAATTTGTCAGTATTTAGATCAAGAAAATTGAGGTTACGTTGTATGTAGGATGTGTCGGGTTAGAGCAGTTCATGATGGAGGACGTTAATCTGCAAGGACGACTGAAGCCTGGTGGTGCTAACACTGCTAACGTTAGCCACACTCAGCAAAGTAATTTGACATTGTTTACCCGCAGACGCTTTGATCATTCACTGTAACTTGTGTAACCACTGTATACACTGTTTATGTGTATGAACACACAGAGAATGAAAGTTTGGGATCTTTGTTCCACAGATTGAGAGCATCCAGCTGATGATGGACAGTGAGACAGGACGCTCCAAAGGCTACGGCTTCATCACTGTGAGTTTTCTCCTCGTCTCTGTTGTTATAAAGCTTTTCAGACTTAACATACATTAGATTTTTAATCTAATCTCCTTTATTTTACTGTTTGATAGTTTTGCAAAGTACCACGGCACAGACAGATGTTTAAAATGTTATGACTCATCATAAATCATTACTACACCTGGGCAGCTTTGAATGGTTTGTGCAAAATCCTGTGGACTCAACAGATTCACCTGTCCACCTGAAGAAGAGACCTGTCTGTCTCTCTGACCTGTCTGCTGTCTGTCTCTCTGACCTGTCTGTCTGTCTCTCTGACCTGTGTGCTGTCTGTCTGTCTCTCTGACCTGTGTGCTGTCTGTCTGTCTCTCTGACCTGTCTGTCTGTCTCTCTGACCTGTGTGCTGTCTGTCTGTCTCTCTGACCTGTGTGCTGTCTGTCTGTCTCTCTGACCTGTGTGCTGTCTGTCTGTCTCTGACCTGTGTGCTGTCTGTCTCTCTGACCTGTGTGCTGTCTGTCTCTCTGACCTGTGTGTGTCTGTCTCTCTGACCTGTGTGCTGTCTGTCTGTCTCTGTGACCTGTCTGTCTCTCTGACCTGTTTGCTGTCTGTCTCTCTGACCTGTGTGCTGTCTGTCTGTCTCTCTGACCTGTCTGTCTCTCTGACCTGTGTGCTGTCTGTCTCTGTGACCTGTGTGCTGTCTGTCTGTCTCTGTGACCTGTCTGTCTCTGTGACCTGTCTGTCTCTCTGACCTGTGTGCTGTCTGTCTCTGTGACCTGTGTGCTGTCTGTCTGTCTCTGTGACCTGTCTGTCTCTGTGACCTGTCTGTCTCTCTGACCTGTGTGCTGTCTGTCTGTCTCTCTGACCTGTGTGCTGTCTGTCTGTCTCTCTGACCTGTGTGCTGTCTGTCTCTCTGACCTGTGTGCTGTCTGTCTGTCTCTGTGACCTGTCTGTCTTCTCTGACCTGTGTGCTTCGTCTGTCTCTCTGATCTGTGTGCTGTCTGTCTGTCTCTCTGACCTGTGTGCTGTCTGTCTGTCTCTGTGACCTGTCTGTCTCTCTGACCTGTGTGCTGTCTGTCTGTCTCTCTGACCTGTGTGCTGTCTGTCTCTGACCTGTGTGCTGTCTGTCTGTCTCTCTGACCTGTGTGCTGTCTGTCTGTCTGTCTCTGACTGTGTGCTGTCTGTCTGTCTCTGTGACCTGTCTGTCTGTCTCTCTGACCTGTGCTGTCTGTCTGTCTGACCTGTGTGCTGTCTGTCTGTCTCTCTGACCTGTCTGTCTCTCTGACCGTGTGTGTGCTGTCTGTCTCTGTGACCTGTGTGCTGTCTGTCTGTCTCTCTGACCTGTCTGTCTCTCTGACCTGTGTACTGTCTGTCTGTCTGACCTGTGTGCTGTCTGTCTGTCTCTGTGACCTGTGTGCTGTCTGCTACCTGTGTCTGTCTGTCTCTGTGACCTGTGTGCTGTCTGTCTGTCTCTCTCTGACTGTCTGTTCTGTCTGACCTGTGTGCTGTCTGTCTGTCTCTGTGTGCTGTCTGTCTCTCTGACCTGTGTGCTGTCTGTCTGTCTCTGTGACCTGTCTGTCTCTCTGACCTGTGTGCTGTCTGTCTCTGTGACCTGTGTGCTGTCTGTCTGTCTCTCTGACCTGTCTGTCTCTCTGACCTGTGTGCTGTCTGTCTCTGTGACCTGTGTGCTGTCTGTCTGTCTCTCTGACCTGTGTGCTGTCTGTCTGTCTCTGACCTGTGTGCTGTCTGTCTCTCTGACCTGTCTGTCTCTCTGACCTGTGTGCTGTCTGTCTGTCTCTCTGACCTGTGTGCTGTCTGTCTGTCTCTCTGACCTGTCTGTCTCTCTGACCTGTGTGCTGTCTGTCTGTCTCTCTGACCTGTGTGCTGTCTGTCTGTCTCTCTGACCTGTCTGTCTCTGTGACCTGTGTGCTGTCTGTCTGTCTCTGTGACCTGTGTGCTGTCTGTCTGTCTCTCTGACCTGTCTGTCTCTCTGACCTGTGTACTGTCTGTCTGTCTGACCTGTGTGCTGTCTGTCTGTCTCTCTGACCTGTCTGTCTCTGTGACCTGTGTGCTGTCTGTCTGTCTCTGTGACCTGTGTGCTGTCTGTCTGTCTCTCTGACCTGTCTGTCTCTCTGACCTGTGTGCTGTCTGTCTGTCTCTGTGACCTGTGTGCTGTCTGTCTGTCTCTCTGACCTGTCTGTCTCTCTGACCTGTGTGCTGTCTGTCTGTCTCTGTGACCTGTGTGCTGTCTGTCTGTCTCTCTGACCTGTCTGTCTCTCTGACCTGTGTGCTGTCTGTCTGTCTCTGTGACCTGTGTGCTGTCTGTCTGTCTCTCTGACCTGTCTGTCTCTCTGACCTGTGTGCTGTCTGTCTGTCTCTCTGACCTGTGTGCTGTCTGTCTGACCTGTGTGCTGTCTGTCTCTGTGACCTGTGTGCTGTCTGTCTGTCTCTCTGACCTGTCTGTCTCTCTGACCTGTGTACTGTCTATCTGTCTGACCTGTGTGCTGTCTGTCTGTCTCTCTGACCTGTGTGCTGTCTGTCTGTCTCTCTGACCTGTGTGCTGTCTGTCTGTCTCTCTGACCTGTCTGTCTCTCTGACCTGTGTACTGTCTGTCTGTCTGACCTGTGTGCTGTCTGTCTGTCTCTCTGACCTGTCTGTCTCTGACCTGTGTGCTGTCTGTCTGTCTCTCTGACCTGTGTGCTGTCTGTCTGTCTCTCTGACCTGTGTGCTGTCTGTCTCTGACCTGTGTGCTGTCTGTCTGTCTCTCTGACCTGTCTGTCTCTCTGACCTGTGTGCTGTCTGTCTGTCTGACCTGTGTGCTGTCTGTCTGTCTCTCTGACCTGTCTGTCTCTGACCTGTGTGCTGTCTGTCTGTCTCTCTGACCTGTGTGCTGTCTGTCTGTCTCTGACCTGTGTGCTGTCTGTCTGTCTCTCTGACCTGTCTGTCTCTGACCTGTGTGCTGTCTGTCTGTCTCTCTGACCTGTCTGTCTCTGACCTGTGTGCTGTCTGTCTGTCTCTCTGACCTGTGTGCTGTCTGTCTGTCTCTCTGACCTGTCTGTCTCTCTGACCTGTGTGCTGTCTGTCTCTGTGACCTGTGTGCTGTCTGTCTGTCTCTCTGACCTGTGTGCTGTCTGTCTGTCTCTCTGACCTGTCTGTCTCTCTGACCTGTGTGCTGTCTGTCTCTGTGACCTGTGTGCTGTCTGTCTCTCTGACCTGTGTGCTGTCTGTCTGTCTCTCTGACCTGTCTGTCTCTGTGACCTGTGTGCTGTCTGTCTGTCTCTCTGACCTGTGTGCTGTCTGTCTCTGTGACCTGTGTGCTGTCTGTCTGTCTCTCTGACCTGTGTGCTGTCTGTCTCTGACCTGTGTGCTGTCTGTCTCTCTGACCTGTCTGTCTCTCTGACCTGTGTGCTGTCTGTCTGTCAGTTTTCTGATGCAGAGTGTGCTAAGAAAGCTCTGGATCAGCTGAACGGCTTCGAGCTGGCGGGTCGACCGATGAAGGTGGGTCATGTGACGGAGCGGACCGACGCCTCCACAGCTTCCTCTTTCCTCGACAACGACGAGCTCGAACGCACCGGCATCGACCTCGGGACCACAGGCCGACTGCAGCTGATGGCCCGACTCGCAGAGGGTGAGACATCCAGTCATCTGTCACAACCACCTGTATCATCTACCTGCACCCCCCCACACTGACTGTGTGTGTGTTTACAGGTACAGGTCTACAGATCCCTCCTGCTGCTCAGCAGGCTCTGCAGATGAGTGGAGCGATCGCTTTAGGAGCCATGGCTGCTGTTTCAGCTGCCATGAATCCAGCTCTCAACATGAACATGAACATGAATATGAACATGAACATGAACCCCATGAACCCCATGAACTCCATGAACCCCATGAACTCCATGAACCCCATGAACCCCATGAACTCCATGAACTCCATGAACTCCATGAACTCCATGAACTCCATGAACTCCATGAACTCCATGAACTCTGGTGCTATGAATCTTCCCTCTCAGCCGCTCGCCACACACTGCTTCCAGCTGTCGAACATGTTCAACCCCCACAGGTACACACACACACACACACACCTGTCTCCTGTCTGTCAGTCTGTACACTTTACTGTGTTTGCACATGAATCTGCTGCTGCCATGCCAGAGCTGCAATTACATGAGCCAATAATCTGCAAGAGATTTTTCAACAATTATGGATTTTGTCGACTTTAAAAATGGACCCGATGAGTGTTTGATTATCCTAACCCTGTTTTTCAAAGAAAGCAGTGAGTCATTTTGGCTGTTTGGGTTCGCTTCTGTCCGTCATTTCGACCTCTCGCCTGCCGCTTTGCATTGTGGGAAACAGTACGTGAGGGACACTGGTCTGATGCAGACTGTAGATTTTTCCAGAATCGATACCACATCCGGGTATTTTTGGCAAACTCAGGATCTCACATTTGTTCGCATACTGCATTTTGGGGCCAATCAGAGCGACCTACTAGTAAAGTTAGCGGTAAGGGGGAGCTGCTGGGGTCGGAACCTTCCTCAGTTAAAGACAACAAGTGGGCAGAGAGACTCACGGGCTGAGGGTCTGTACTTCAACGAGAGCTCAACTAGCGTACAGGTAGCTAGCAGGATTACAAACTCCACCTGGTGTAAAGAGCTGTTACTGAAAGAGCTGCAGAGAAACAGACTGTTGTGGACTCTGATGAACACGATGAAAATCATCACACAGGAAGACACTTTGAACCCACTTCCACTGTGGGAGACCCTCTGTCTTTGTCACAGATGCATCCGTCCTGGGTAATCAGAAAACAAGTGGTAAGCCTTGCTGCTCAGTGTGAATGCAGGACTTAGTGAGACCCGGTCTCTCAGACCACATACAGAGGTGGTCGGGGTGATGACTTCTGAGCCTGTGTGTCCTGGGCAGCTTTAAGGACCGCCCCCCTCAGCTGACATTATCTGTGGTAGTCTGCCAGTAACCAATCAGAGACCTGGTTGAATAAATCTGCACCCACACACCTTCAGTCTCGTCAAACAGAAGGACTATTGAGGCTCTTAAGAGGCGGGCGAGTGAGGAGGTCTGATCACAAGTCGCTGCTGGAGATGCAAAGTGTGAACGGCCGTAATGAAAGTGCTGTCCACTTTTTCATCCAATCACACGGTTACAAACGGGGAGAAAGTAGAAGTGACAGAGCGATTTGTGTGGATCAGCTACAGACTCAAGTTTACCTTAATGTGTTGACGGAACTGAAATGCATGCTGGGTAATGTGTGCGTGTGTGTGTTGATGTGCAGCTGTGTGTGTGTGTTTCAGTGAGGAGGCTCCTGGCTGGGACACGGACATCCAGCATGATGTCATCGAGGAGTGTAACAAACATGGAGGAGTCGTTCACATCTACGTCGACAGGAACTCTGCTGAGGTACATGTCACCCTCTGTTTCTGTGGCGTGCGTGTGTGCGTGTGTGTGTGTGTGTGTGTGTGTGTGTGTGCGCGTGTGTGCGTGACTTTTGAAGCATAATGACTTTGAACGCTGCTTGATTTCAGGGGAATGTTTACGTCAAGTGTCCGTCCATCCCGGCTGCAATGGCCGCCGTCAACTCTCTACACGGAAGATACTTTGCTGGTAAGAATACCTGTCACATGACACCTTCTATGTGCTGTGAACCAATCAGAGAGTAGCTCTGACGTCTCACCTGTCTTTTCAGGTAAAATGATCACAGCGGCGTACGTTCCTCTGCCCACCTATCATAACCTGTTCCCAGAAGCCGCCACCTCTATCCAGCTGCTGGCCCCGCCCCCGAGACGATGACTCAACAACACTGCCCTCTGATTGGACACTGAGCCTCTTTTTTAATCCTCCCCTCCAATTGGTCGACAGACTTGTCAGTTTCACTTTGGGCTCTCCGGTGTCAGAACAGCGTGGGATGATGTTTGTTTTTCCATTCTGTTTGCTTCCTAATGTTCGTTCTAAATACCATTTCTGGACGTGGCCTGTTTTCAGTATCGTCCAATGATTGAGCTCCGTGAGCTGTGATGAGGCCGGCCAATGATGGCGGTGGATTCAGCTGATTGGTTGGTATTACAATGTTTTCTAATCAAGAGTTTGATTTTGTAAAGTCGTTGATTAAATTTTATTTTGAAGTCACTCGGCTGCTGTGTCTTCTTCTGGTGTGTGTGTGTGTGTGTGTGTGTGTGTGTGTGTGTGTGTGTGTGTGTGTGTGTGTGTGTGTGTGTGTTTGTGTGTGTTGTGTGTGTGTGTGTGTGTGTGTGTGTGTGTGTGTGTGTGTGTGTGTGTGTGTGTGTGTGTGTGTGTGTGTGTGTTGTGTGTGTGTGTGTGTGTGTGTGTGTGTGTGTGTGTGTGTGTGTTGTGTGTGTGTGTGTGTGTGTGTGTGTGTGTGTGTGTGTGTGTGTGTGTGTGTGTGTGTGTGTGTGTAAAAAAAAAATCAGGCTGAGGTTTCATTGTTTTGGAATACAGCTTTATAACTTCATTTAAACAGCAGAGCGCCAAGAAGGTAAAAAAAAAACCACAATGTCTTCCATAACCTGATAGGAACAGACATATTTTAAATGTATTAACTGATGACTAAATTAATTGTTAAAATGTACGGAAGCCCATAGAGGACAAACATCCTTATATTTCTTGTATATCTCGACATATATGTTGCTATCGTGTAGAGTTTTAGTCAAGACCACACTGACCAGAGACAAAGACCAGGGCTAGACCATGAAATATAGGGGTTGAAACCGAGACCATAAATATCACTGAAAAATCCTCATCTTGTGTGCAGGGGGCGTGTCACTTAGACGGTAACACCCAGTGGTGTAGTGCAGCGTATTCTCGCTTCTAAATCTCCTCTGATTCACAGCATGGATTGATGGATTCAGTAGTTTACTGTACCTCTTCTTCGTCTTGACTGACCAAGACCAATTTTGAGCCCTACACAAACTGCTATCTTGAATAAAAACAGATATTTTAAGTTGATGTGATAAGTTATTTTCTCGAGGTCTTAAAGTAACGCAGGAACCCGCCTTACTGTCCTGAGAACAAAAAAGTTGAGAACGTGAGAAATAAATAAAATCACAGGTAAGAAGTCTGGATGTGTGTCCACTTTGGGCCACCGTTAAAGAGACAAACAGCAGGAGGAGAAAATGTAACACAGTTTAGAGTGAAAAAACAGTTTCTCATCAGTCACCTGGCGGGTTAACACACAAGCTCCTTAAAGGTCGACCTCGTTCAGCTGGATGACGGTGATGGTGATGTCATCACGGTACCTCCTGGCCAGATCTGTGGGCAGACTCAGCATCTTGGCCAGACGGTTTGGAGCCACCCGATCCGTACCCGTCATCCCCCAGGGCGTGGCGGAGCAGGTGGGTGGTGGCGTTCTGGTCCCTCCAGTACAGACAGAACCCGCCCTTCCTCTCCAACAGGAGGCGCTGCAGGCCGCCCAGTGTTGTTCCAGCGCCGGGAATTATGGGTGCTTGCTGTTGAAGACCTGATCGTCAAACAAAAAAAAAACGTTCTTAGTTATCAGACTGAGACCTGGTCCTGATCCTAACTAACAGGTCTTCAGACTGGTACCTGGTCCTGATCCTAGCTAACAGGTCATCAGACTGAGACCTGGTACTGATCCTGCTAACAGGTCATCAGACTGAGACCTGGTACTGATCCTAGCTAACAGGTTCAGACTGAGACCTGGTACTGATCCTAGCTAACAGGTCATCAGACTGAACCTGTACTATCCTAAACAGTCTCAGACTGAGACCTGGTCTGATCCTAACAGGTCATCAGACTGGACCTGGTACTGATCCTAACTAACAGGTCATCAGACTGAGACCTGGTCCTGATCCTAACTAACAGGTCTCAGACTGAGACCTGGTCCTGATCCTAGCTAACAGGTCATCAGACTGAGACCTGGTCTGATCCTAGCTAACAGGTCTCAGACTGAGACCTGGTCCTGATCCTAACTAACAGGTCTCAGATGAGACCTGGTCCTGATCCTAGCTAACAGGTCTTCAGACTGGTACCTGGTCTGATCCTAGCTACAGGTTTCAGACTGAGACCTGGTCTGATCTAACAGGTCTCAGACTGAGACCTGGTCTGATCCTAGCTAACAGGTCTTCAGACCGAGACCTGGTACTGATCCTAGCTAACAGGTTATCAGACTGAGACCTGGTACTGATCCTAGCTAACAGGTCTAGACTGAGACCTGGTACTGATCCTAGCTAAAGGTCATCAGACCGAGACCTGGTACTGATCCTAACAGGTCTTCAGACTGGGACCTGGTACTGATCCTAGCTAACAGGTCATCAGACTGGGACCTGGTACTGATCCTAGCT